AAACGACTTATTTTAAGGTAATAAAAACACAACGATTCTTGTTTTCAGGTGATTATACATACCTATGAATATTATGTTCCATTTCTGCTAATAGATCCTCCTAAATATTACACATTGGATCTTACAGTATATGATTTGTATTCTTATAAAATGTTACTGAATGAACCGTAAAAGCAGTTTCCTCACTTAACACAAAGAGAATGTGATTTTGGTCCAAACAGGCAGCAACAAGCGTTAAAGAACTAGTCTGTATGACTTTGTAAAAGACAACTGTCCTCAACGACAGAGAGGTCAGAGGTCAAACTCATTATAAACAACACAAGACAATTGGCTGTTTTATGTGACTTAAGATCAGCTTATATCCATCTATTCGTGATTCTGTTGCCTCTGTACAGAGTCGAGAGTTTACTGCTGTCATCAACTGTGCATGCCAGAAAACCTGACAACATGTCAGTCATGTAATAGTCAGTGAGGACATATAATATGTGAAATTCTTGTTACTCATTAAACACCATAAACCTGATCAAAGTTCCCCTTCAGCTGCTGTCTTTATGGGCATGTTTATTCTGGCATCAGAGAAACACGTTTCTGTCCGGATAACGACATGGGCTCTGGAGACAGTTTGAGGAAGATTACTGCCCTGATTGGAGTCTTTGTGGTTTTAAAGGTAGGGAATTTTTAAAGTATTCAAAATTGAATCATGCAGATAAAGATAAAGAAATCTCTTAGTAGGTTTAAAAATGAGATGTGCCTCTTTTTCTGTGCTAGGTGCAAGCTGTTCCGACACGTACCGGTTGGTTCCTATTAACTTTAATGATCATATTCACATGAAGCAAGCTTGTTTGTTACTTTTCCACTCTAACAATATATGTATCTTCCAGGTGATAATGCAGATGCTGGTGAACTGAGGGATGACATACTTGACATTAACAGAGGTATACTTTTTATGCCCTGTCTACTGTTGATATGTGCACAGTGATCATATGTTCTACTGACTGATATTCAAATAGTAATGTGTATACTATAATATATACATGTGTTTTCACATTTTTAGGGTTAGATCACCTGTTTGAAGGGGACATCGCTGGTAATGTAAGAAGAGAGTCTGGGTAGAAATTATGTTTTTCAGGGATTTACATAAGGTATATTCTCAATGCTTTCAATGTGTCTTGCAGCCCAACAGAAATGCAATCCTTGATCAAACAAGAAGATGGAAGTTTCCCATTGCCTATATCTTGACTGATTCTTTAGGTACACTGTGCACAAATGAATACATTTCTACCAGCAAGTAATTTCATGAAAAAGTAAAATGTTTACTGATTTGGAAATTAATTTCCATTATTCTAGAACTGAATGCTAAAGGTGTGATCCTCCAGGCTTTTGAGGAATACCGTTTGAGATCCTGTGTAGACTTCAAGCCCTACGAGGGAGAGACCAGCTACATCTCCTTCACCAAGCTGTCTGGGTGAGCTGCAGTATGCCACACTGTTTCAGGAATGATCTCTATTGCACAACTTTATGGGCCATGCTGTCAAGTCATCAAACTTAAGGCAATAAGAACCAAAGATTAGGAAATGCTGATGTGTTGAAATGCTTTTTAAAGCTCAGTAATAGTCAGGAGATTGTGAAGTTATTTGAATTTTCCCCTTAATTCAGATGCTGGTCATATGTTGGAGACGATAAAGTAGGCCAGAATGTGTCCATTGGCGCCGGGTGTGACACTAAGGCCATTGTGCAACATGAGCTCCTTCACGCTCTGGGCTTTTACCATGAACAGTCTCGCTCAGATAGAGATGACTATGTCAAAATCTGGTGGGACCAGATTGAAGAAGGTCGGTCACAATTTCTTTATCAGAACCCCATCTAAAAACTTTTTTTACAATATATATTTTCATATATTCACTGAACCCATTTCACATTCATTGAATTAGGTTAAGATTAGGGTTAGGGTTAAGGGTTTATATCAAGATGTCATACTTGCAATTTAAATTTTTTTTTGCACTTTAAAGGTCCAGTGTGTAATATTTAGGAAGATCTATTGGCAGAAATTGAATATAATATGTATAGGTTTTATTTCATTAGTGTCTAATCACCTGAATATAGGAATTGTTGCATTTCGTTACCTAAGAATGAGACGCTTTTCTGCACAGAAAACGTGGAGTCCGCAATGTTGAACCACCACATTTCTACAGTACCCCAGAAAGGACAAACCAAACACTGGCTGTAGATTAGTCCTTCAGTGTTTTTATACAACTTTTTACTGCACTTTCTCCAAAACACTACGCAGCCAGTTCTCATTCAAGCTCTCATTCATGTTCAAAGTTGCAATCTGCAACTTCACAGCTTGATGCCACTAAATCCTACACACTGGAGGTTTTATAGCTTCTACATATACATATCCTGTGTGGAAGTACTTATAAGGAGTTGTTGTTTTCTCCTCACAGGAAAGGAGCACAATTTCAACAAGTATGAAGATGACTTCATCACTGATATGAACACGGCGTATGATTATGAGTCCATCATGCACTACAGACCACTGTCTTTCAACAAGAACGAGAGCATCCCCACAATTACCACCACCATACCATATTTTAATGAGGTCATTGGCCAACGGCTGGACTTCAGTGCTGTCGACATCACCAGGCTCAACCGCATGTATGACTGTGGTGAGTGTCTCCTTTTGGGCCTACATAAATGTTAGAGAAAGGCAACTGTACCACCAGGCTCCACAATTCCAGGTGTGGAACTACATTTATGTTCTCATCTTAAAAGTGCTTTAGATAAATGATGGGTTAAATGTCTAATGTGAAACATGTCGCTCGTAGTGATGTACCAACAGATAATTATCACCTGCTTTTTTTTTTTTCAGCGCCTCTCTTATTGAGCCCATTACCATTCACAGTTAACAAACAATAAGGCATAATGCCTGAAGAGGTGTTCATTATCTGGAATTAATGGACAATGTGGGGGCCAGAATGTGGAAGGTGTTTGCCTCTATATCATCTTATACCAAGGTTACTTGCCAATGAAAAACAAATAAAATCATTCATTTATATTTTGTGTTTTGCAATCAAAATCGAAAGTTTCTTACAAGCCATAACTCAATTTCCCTGGTAACACTTTTAAGAATCATTAACATCCCATAATGTTCTTATGTAATGGAAATAATGGGAGTTGCTGGATACGCACAGCTAAAGGGAGAGTGAACATTTGAATAACGTTTGTCAGGTGGCCAAAAACACAACTCCAAATGAATGCTACCCTGTAAAACCAGATAGGTTAATTTAACTCAAGAAATTGTTGATTACATTGAAAATCGAACTCAATTTTGTAACTTAAAAACATTGACCAAGTAGCTTTAGTATTTTTAAGTGACACTGACTTAATTTTGTCAATTTTATTTGTACTGTGAATACAAAATGCCTTGTAAAAAGTACTGAATCAAGAATGTTTCGGTAACTTACAAAACTAAGTTAGTGTAACTTAAAAATGCTAGTAAAAGCTCCTTAATCATGAAGACAATTACTAAAGCTATATTTTTACATTTTTAACTGTCTACTGGTAAGACATTGGACATTAACTTCAACTTCTTTATAAGGAGATAACATGTCAGTGTTGTGTTTTGAGCTTCTTCTGCTGCCCTGTAGTTGCCAGAAAATCAATAAATGCAGTTTTAGAGTTCCACTAGAGATATTTTTATGTACTTTGTAGAACCTCCATGTAATTGTTTAAGCTTTGTAAGTTGACTCTTGATAACTGTCCTTTTTCAGCCAACACACACACTCTCCTGGACCAATGCTCCTTTGAGCAGATCAACATCTGTGGAATGATCCAGAATGAGGAGGACAACGCAGACTGGGTCCAGACGTTGAGCAGTCCAGCTGATACAGACCACACCCTGGGAGGGCGCTGCAGAGGTAGTGAGCAAATTTTATACATCAAACTTAATCTAAACTAGAAGAAGGCTTGAAGATTGTTGTCTCTCATTCCCAGCAACGACATTTGACGACCTGGTAATAAGATGCAACAATCAACTGTCTGTCATTCAGGCCCGGTGGGGGCCAAATTAGACTTGCATAAATGAATATGTTGTTAAATACTGGCCGAAATCTCATGCAATTGCTTTTTGTACAACGATATTAAAATGCATCTTAGCTTTTTTTGCCATATAACTAACTATAAGTTGTTAACTGTAAGTTAAGTTTTGAGTTATGCACTCATGGCCACTTCTTTTTTTTAGATTCTGGTTACTACATGAAGTTTGACACATCTTCCGGCGCAGTTGGAAGCAGCGCCTTGCTGGAGTCACGTATCCTGTACCCCAAGAGAGACGAGCAGTGCCTGCAGTTCTTCTACAAGATGACTGGAGCAGCTGGGGACCAACTGGTGATATGGATCAGGACTGATGACGGGACGGGGACTGTGAGTAGTGCCAGGAAGATACACACCATTACAGGTATTTTATTTATTTTTTCGAATGTAAAAACTATTTAGAGTTTGTTGCATGATTGTAAAATTAATTACAAACACCCATTTTAACACTATCTTTTCATGATTTACAATAAATTCACAATATTCAGTAAATCCTCTGCTTTTTGGTGCGGTCAGGTGATGGAGATGCTGCCTGGAAAATAGCCCATGTGACTCTCAAGGTGACAGAGAAGTTCCGCTATTTCTTCCAAGGCATCAGAGGATCATCCACCTCCTCGGGCACCATCTTAATCGATGACATCACTCTTACTGAGACCGTTTGCCCC